AAGAGGAAGAGGAAGAGGAAGAGGAAGGGGAAGCAGGAGGAGGAAAGAAGAAAATAGGAACAATAAAATGGCAATAAATACATATGTATCAACAATTAAATCTAAAAATCAAAATACATGAACAAGAAATCTAATCAACAAAATAGACTGTTGAATAAAATAGAACCAGAGGCATGGAAACATGGAATAGACTGACGAGTGAATCTCAGGGAAGGGAAGGGGGGACAGAAAGAGGTTAACCAAAGGTCTTATATGCATATATGCATTACCTATGGACACAGACAAAAGAGTAGTGAAGGCCTGGAGTGGGGTGGGAGCTGGCTGGCAAGTGGTAATGGGGGGTTGGCAGGGAGTATCTGTAATACCCCCAGCAATAAAGATTTTTTTAAAATAAAAAAATAAAATAAATGTCAGGGGTAAGTAGGCATCAAGAAAGAGAACCTGTCCAGACAATGTGCTCAGTAGTTGAGCATCAACTCATGCACCAAGAGGCCATCAGTTCAATTCCCGGTCAGGGCACATGCCTAGGTTGCAGCCTCGGTGAGGGGTGCATACAGGAAGCAGCCAATCAATGTTCTCTCTCATTGTTGTTTCTATCTCACTCTCCCTCTTCCTTCCTCTCTCTAAAAACAAAACAAACAAACAAAAAAAACAAAACAAAACAAAAAACACAAAGAAACAATAGAAACATATTTTTTAAAAAGAAAAGAAAGAACCTAAAAGCTCTCTTATTTTACTTTTTCAATTTAGGTCTTTGACCCATCTGCAATTGACTTGGGTATAAAGTAGAAATCAAGATATACCATTTTCTAGACCAATAGCTAATTGACTCAATTTATAGGTTATGTTTACAATCTTCACAACTGTAGCTTCATACAAGATCATGGTATCTATAGTATAAATCTTATAAACTTGTCATTTTTATTTAAGACCATCTTGACTGTTCTTGACTCTTTACATTTCCATATGACTTTTAGAATAAGCCTGCCCATAACACACACACACACACACACACACACACACACACACACACACCCATACTTGCACAAATAGTGCTGAGATTTTGAGTGGGATGGTTTTTAATCTATAAATTCACTTGGGGACAACTAACATCTTTATAATATTGAGTCTCTCAATCCATGAACATTGTATATCCCTCCATTATTGAGGTCTTTTGCAATTTACTCAATAATATTGTTGTTGTTTTTAGTTTGTATTACAGAGGTCTTGAACAGCTTTTGCTAGCTTATTCTATGTCTTTGATAATTCTCGATGCTACTGTAAATGATACTTCTAAATGTAATTCTATTGGTTTGTTGGTATTTATAGACATACACAGAAATACTACATATATATATATATAGACTAGTTTTCTTGCTAAATTCATTTATTAAGTCTAATAGTTTGTTCAGATTTTCTTCCATATACACATTCATAAATACCCTATTTTAACTACAGATAATCTTAAAGTATTTCACAAATACTCTCAATACTGTGTCTTAAGATTATACAACTCATGAAAATCAATAACTTCTGACACTCTCTCTCTGGAAAGTGGATATTTAAACTTCCCCTGCAGTCCTAGCTGGTTTGGCTCAGTGGATAGAGCATTGGCCTATGGACTGAAGGGTCCATGTTTGATTCTGGTCAAGGGCACATGCCTGGGTTATGGGCTTGATCCCCAGTAGGGGGCATGGAAGATGCAGCCGATCAATGATTCTCTCTCATCATTGATGCTTCTATCTCTCTCTTCCTCTCTGAAATCAATAAAAATATATTTTTTAAAAAACAACATTTAAACTTCCCCTGCACATCCATCATTCACCTAAAAATATTCATTAGATACCTACTGCGACCAGACTTAAGTTGCTACTAGTTTTGGAAATAGGATAGTTAGGAAGATAAATGGTCTGCAGCACCACAGGATTTACAGTCAAATAAAGAAAACTAAGTATGACAACTTCCGTGGCAGGCGGGGACCTAGAGTGCTATGGAAGCACACAGCCACACAGCAGAGGCCCTCCCACTTCTGTTCTGGCAGAGACAGTACAGAAAGGCTCCCTGGCAGAAGAAACAGCTCAGCGGAGAAGTGAGAAAGGGAAGCTGTTATCCAGGTTAACAGGAATCCCAGAGCATGCTGGGCAGAGGGAATGGCCTTGCAAACCTCATGGTCACAGAATCTTACCATGGTAAAATAAAAGCACATTTCCAATAAACTGTTTTACTGTTTACCTGGGTGTATTAATTGGATATATGCTGCATTTATTCCATATTTATTCTTGGCTACACAGGTAAATGGATATAGATAAAATTCACTTTTCACTTCTGAAATATTAAGCATTAGGATGACTGTGTTCCTGTTTTTGGATGCAGGATTTTCCACTCTGTTCAAAAGAGAGAGAGAGAGAGAATAAGTTGTTTTAAGTAAACTGCATGAACAACAAGTAAGTCACGTGCATGGTCTTTCTCCCTACTTGTTGCATAAATGAAGGCAGAAACAACCACCAGCCTATGCACAGGTATAACAATCAGGCTGTTAGCAACATTGATCGAGATGTTATGGACCTACGTCCATTACCAGTAAAAGATGCAGTAGGAGAGAAACCGAATAAAAATCACCAGCTTCCAAGAAGAAAAATATGAACATATGCATTTTGGTCTCCATGGGGCACAGAAAGGACTATATGGAACAAGAGTAGAGTAGGCAGACGGCACAGGATTTGAAGGTGATGCTAAGGAGTCAGGAGTTTATCCCTAGAGGTTCCAGGAGCCCTGAGGACTTGAGCAGCAGAAGGCGTGACTCTTGGCCCATTTTATGCGTCCTTTTTAGATTACTTAAAAAGTGGAATAACATGAAGATTGCTTCACCGGAATGTTGCAACATATGTAAGTAATTTAACAGAAAGACTTCCAAGTTGTCCTGAATTTGCACCACAATGACATGCATTTTTATCTTAAATGTACAAGCTCTTGTAAATCCTGTTTAGCTGAACGAAACTCAATATGGGTGGCAAAGGGTTAAGAACCAATCAACCACCAAGTAACTTTTGCTATTCCAGTGGTCGTCAAACTGCGGCTTACCCTAATTAAGTTAATGACAGTGTACCTACCTATATAGTTTAAGTTTAAAGAATTTGGCTCTCAAAAGAAATTTCAATCGTTGTACTGTTGATATTTGGCTCTGTTGACTAATGAGTTTGCCGACCACTGGAAACCATCAAGGCTGTATAAAGTATAACGTGCAACTTAACACCCAAACGTCTCTGCTGTGGTTGGCGCTCAGCATGCTTACTGTATGTAGTCTTCCACTAGCACCGGGTCGTCATCATCAATCAGTGACCCGTTCCACTTCCAGTAGACAAAGTTAGTTACACGGCCAGTGACGTTGCATACCAACTGCAGCTGGGATCCTGCGAAGCAATGCATTTTAAGGCCTAACATTAATTAATTTTTAAGTGATCCATTTATCTATATTAACAAGTGGCTACTGAATAAGAATCTTAAATTATAGGAAAACACAAAGAAAAAGAAAAATCACCCTTACACTTACCACCTAGAGATAACCACTATTAGTAACATTTTGTATCTCATTCCTTATCTTCTCTATGTACATATGCAATTATTTAAATGGGTGTTATTATCTACTATTTGTAATTATTATTGGGTTGGGAACGTTGGCTCACGAGATTAGCCTTCCAAAATAGGCTCCTTCGCGGCTGGCTCAGCATTCCACAATCAGAACAGAATATGATGATCATTTTCCCAGTGCTAAACACAATCTGTTCCTAATTTTTCATTATTATGATTACTATTCCATGAGCATTCTTGTACACCAATATTGTACATTTTCCAAAACAGCACTCCGAGTGGAAATCCAGAAGTAGAATCCAGTTAAAGGAGATACATTGTAAAAGCCAGCCCCTCTCGCCCACACAAGACTGCACTTCCCACTTGCCCGGCATGAGTGCTGTGCGTTCACCCCAGGCTTCCCCACGAGTCAGTGCTGACTCAGAGAGGAAAAACATTCCATTCACATTTTGCCTGCGTTTCTTGAATTAATGGCGAACTGACATGTTTTTTATAAGCTTAGCGTTCCTTTGCCTTTAAGAACTGCTGGTTATACCTACTGCCCATTATTTCCTGGCATCATTGTGGTAACGCTTATCACACACGACAACTCCAAAAACCCTCAGTGTTGCTTGCTTTCATTTCATTGTTATGGAAATCCTTTGGTAAAGATATTTTTATTTTTTGTTTGGTCAAATTTATAACTGTTTATCTGTTTTCACTATTTTTTTCTAAAATCCCCCTCTACCACCAAATCAGGAAAATATCATGTACATTTTATTTGGGGCACGTCATACTTTAATTGTTTTATCCATTTAAGGGGCCAAGGAAATCTTAGCTGTTGCAAGGGTTGTGGCCCTCAAAGGGCCATAGTACATCGACAGACAGACAGAATCTGTGATGTAAGTCCTGAGAGAGGAGCAGGGCTGAAGGGAAATGTCTTTTTAGGCTCCCAAGGGGGCACAGTCACGAGAAAGGATTGGGAAATGCTGCTCTCAATTCTACAGGCCCATATATAATTATGAGTTACACATGTTTGTTAGCTTATATCTAAGAATTGCTTTATATTACCATACATCCCGAGTAACAAATTAACAGAACCCACAGGTCACAACTCTACCTTCTAATCCTTGTCTTCTTGCAGTTACTATTACAGATGAGAATTTTGTACACTAACATGATTTTTGATCCTCTGGTACCAAAACCTGCCTTTACGCTTAGACCAGCGGTTTCTCATGGAACGGTCAGTGATGGTGAAAATGTGCTCTATTGTGTTAACCCTGAAGTCACTGGTCACATGTGGCTACTAAGCTCTTGACTGAGAAAGTATTCAATTGAACTAAATTAATTCAATTTAAATTTACATATGCGTAACTACATGTGGCTTGCGGCTATTGCACTGTATGGGGCTGGGCTGGATGTTTATAAGATTTTATTCGTGGGATAAACTATGTAGAAGTTAACTAACTTGTGACAGTGTTTTTCTAGAACGACATCCTTTTGCCTGCAGTCTAGCTCTCCTGCCTAAAGCACGAGAGGCGCCTGTGTGCCGGGAGTCACATTCCCACCCTCGGCCTGCTGAGGCCGGCCTCTGGCTGGGGTTCTAAGCAGGGACAGCCCAACCAGGTGTGGTTCGATGTGTGCCATAAGAGGCAAGAAATCCAAAGGAACATTTAATATGCAACCTGAGCCACTTTCTCTCTAATTATAGGCATGTCCAGTGAACAGCTTAGGCTCTGTGCAGTAAAGGTACAATTTATCTTCACCTCGAACTCAGAATAATTACCGCAGTCTGTCCTGACTGGAGGCTACTCACCCGGGACCACTTCCATCGTCTCGTTCACCGGACTCACAATCTCAGGGCTCTGGGGCCTGTTCTTCTCTGAAATAAACATCCACAGGCTCTCAGTCTCGCACAGATCAGGGTCTCAAATGATACCAACACTTGGCAAGTACACCAAACTATACATGGCGTCCGGCAGATATTCCCTCAAATGTCGGAAGCATTTATGGCAGGAGACAGAGGCAAGAAGTGAAAGAGGGGGCCAGCACGAAGGCCACAGCCAAATCATGACAACCCGCTCCAAAGCCTGCGCCCTCTGAGCCCAGCAGCTTGGGCTACACAAAACCACAGGCAACACAGGCCCCGGCTGCAGACAATGGCTCTCCTAGAGCCAATCAGGATGAGGAGTGGGCTGGTGCTTCCCTGGTGGAGCATCACTCTCCAGAGGGCTTTGCTTATACACGGGACCTTTACTAATGACCCAAGAGTAGAATGTCAAGCAATTTGGCATAACTTATTAAAACAGGATAAAAATAGTAAGTAGCTCCAGAAATTAATCTGACTGTTATTTACAAAAACATTGGCTTCAAGGGGTAACCTGTGGCCAACCCTGAGAAACTATGATCTTAAATGCCAGCTCCATAAGGCAGGATCCTGTCTCTTTGGTTTGCTAACAGTTCCTGGCATGTAGTAGATGCTCAATTAATAGTTTTGAATCTTCCTTTAGAAGAATATTTAAAAATGACCTCACCCCTGATTAAGTACATTATGTCTACACAAGGGATCAGAAAAGGAGAGGAAGAATATGTCTGCTGGTCTGGTTGCTACAAGTCAGGAAGAACAAACCAGAGCTACACAACGGCCAGAGGGAGGCTGCTCAAAGGTCAAGATGGTTGTGACTGTTGAAAACTCTGATTCACTGATACTAGTAGGAATTAATTCTGATTCAACAAAATAATAAACTTTGAAAAAATAAAGTATGATGGAAGTAAGAAAGCTCCGCTGTAAGTCAGGCGGTCCAGTTCTGGGTCCCTGCCCTGGGACACGCCCTCCTGTGCCTGTCCCAGCATGATTCGCAGTAGGGACTCCTTTAACTTTCAAACCCCCACAAGTGACCATTATCATATACAGTTTATGGAGCTCTCAGAAAGAACCATCATCAACCATCCCAAAGACTGAGCCTCCTTGGTCAGCTGCAAACCTGGGTCATATCGTCTGTTTAATTAGCACTTCCTCTGAAGCAGGAGGGAAGCCATTTACATAGTATTTAGCAACAAAAGTTAAAACCAGGTGACTTTTGGCAAGTCATCCAGCTTCTCATGGCTTCAGCTCCTCCATGGACATGCAGATGATATTAGAATCCTGATCCCTGGGCCTTCCCAGGTGGGAAGTCTTAGGACAGAGCTGTGACTCACCAAGAGTTAAAAGCTTGATCACCCGGCTGATGTGATACTGCTTTCCCAGGATCGTGTAGGATGCGCGGCAAGTGTAGTTCCCTTTATGCGCTTCAGTCACATTCATGATGATGAGTTTATTTGATTCTCCAATGAAGTTTGCATCGTCAAGAAGTAGTGGTTTGCAGTCCTAGATAGAGCAACAGGAAGAAAGTATTGAAAACCAATTAAAAACTTTCTCCAGTCTGCCAGAAGGAAACATTCCACTTTTTCATATCAGCAAATGTTTTATACATATGCAATATGTACATTATATTTCATATATATTTATACATATATACAAATATGTACTTACACACACACACACACACACACACACACATATATGAAAAGAAAGATTCCTTGCATAACAAATTTTAATGTGATTTTTGTGGCAAAAGTCATAATTATACTCCTAGGATATTAAATGCTTACACCTATGAGCCTTGCACTTTGAAAACAAATTTATTTGGAAATAAAAACACAGTGGAGGAAAGAATGCTCACACTATATAGTTTGTCTGTGTTGCTGTACTTCCTTTCTTCACAGATATTATTGACTTTGTGTTTCTTACCCTGCACAGCATGATTCCCCAAGGAAGCCCTAACAAGCTCAGTAGATCAAAGGCAGCAAACTGATAGTTTCCATGGAGTGCTAGCCAATCTCTTCTAAGACAGTTACAGAAACTACTGCCCTGGCTCAGTTGTTTGGCACATCCTCCCGTACACCGAAAGGTCACGGTTCCATCCTCGGTCAGGGCTCATGCCCAGGTTGTGGGTTGAATTCCCGATTGGGGTGTGTGCAGGAGTCAACCTATTAATGTTTCTCTCTCTCAAATCAATAAAAACATATCCTCCAGTGAGGATTAAAATAATAGAAAGAAACTATTAAGTTATTTAAGGACCACTTGATTTTTTTTAATATCTTATTGATTTTTTACAGAGAGGAAAGGTGAGGGATAGAGAGTTAGAAACATCGATGAGAGAGAAGCATCGATCAGCTGCCTCCTGCACACCCCCCATCAGGGATGTGCCTGCAACCAAGGTACATGCCCTTGACTGGAATCGAACCCGGGATCTCTCAGTCTGCAGGCTGACGCTCTATCCAGTGAGCCAAACCAGCTAGTGCATGGACCACTTGATATTTTAATAAAACACAAAAGAATAAATTTTGTGCCCTGGCCTGTGTCACTCACTCGTTAGAGCATGGGCCCATGTACCAAAGAGCTGCAGGTTTGACAGATCAACCAATGAACTTGTATGTATATATGCATGGGGTGGTGAGGGCCTGGGGCAGGGGGCGGGGACAGGAGTGGCTGGAAGAAGTTAATGGTCCCAGTCAAGGACCTGTACCTGGGTTGCAGGTTCAATCCTTGGGCCCAGCTGGGTGTGTGCGGAAGGCAACAATGGATGTGTCTTTCTCACATTGACATTTCTCTCTCTCACCCTCCCACCTTCCACTCTCTATAAAAATCTATGGAAAAAATATCCTTGGGTGCCCAGCCGGCATGGCTCAGTGGTTGGCGTTGACCTATAAACCAGGAGGTCACCATTTGACTCCTGGTCAGGGCACATACCCGGGTCGCAGGCTTGATACCCAGTGTGGGGCGTGCAGGAGGCAGCCAATCAATGCTTCTCTCTCATCATTAATGTTTCTATCTCTCTCTTCCTCTCCCTTCCTCTCTGAAATCAATAAAAATATATATTTTTAAATGTATCCTTGGGTGAGGATTAACAAATAAACAAAAAAAGAATACTTTTTAAAAAATAAATAGTTATCTCTTAAAAACCCTAAATTTATACTGCCTTATCTTTAAACTTCTTTTATTCTTACTATACTCTTTTTCAACTATATCTTCTTAAGAAAAATAACAGAAAGTAAGCTTTTAGTAAGGCTGCAAATTAAATATATGCAGTCATAACTTTTTCAAATGTCCTATTAAGTTTCACTACTCAAAAGTAAATGATATGCCAAATGAAAATGTACTTTGCAGATTCAACATATTGTCTGTGAAAGAAAACTATTTTATTTGCTGCAAAAGTAAAATACTATATTTAATATAACATTACGT